TGGTTTAGGTATGTGGATGATATTTTTGCTGTTTTTGACACACATTCAGACACCATAGATAATTTTATTTCTAAGTTAAATAATCGTTTTCCTTCCATTAAATTTACGCATGAAATTGAGAACAACGTCAGATTACCTTTTCTAGATGTATTAGTTATTAGAAATACTAATAATTGCCTGGAATTTGATATCTATAGGAAAAATACCACCACACGCAGATATATTCCTAATGAATCATATCATAGTGTTGAACATAAAATGGCTAGTTTAAATTTCTTAGTTCATAGATTACTTAGTTTCCCACTTTCCAACGAAAGATATGAAACAGAAAGAGATTATATTAGGAATGTAGCTGAGTGTAATGGATATTCTCCTTCACTAGTTGATAAATTAATTAGAAAACGTAGGTATAGGTTAATAATTTCTGAAAATTCAACTTTTCATGTGGAGAAAGATACGTCTAAATATTTTTCAATACCGTTTGATAGACAGTTATCCTGTGGTCTAAAAGGAATTTTTAAGAATGTTAATTATAAACTTGTGTATAGTGCTAATAATAAATTACAACAATTATTAGGGAATCCAAAGGATAAAACACTCCACTGGAAAGGTCGGGTATTTATGAAATTTCTTGTAAAGATTGTAATCAGAAATATGTTGGGCAAACTAGAAGATCAATATTAACTAGATTTAAAGAACATTTAGCTCATATAAGATATGGTAGACCGGATAAATCTTGCGTTGCCGAACATATTGTTGATAAAGAACATTGTATGGATCTTAATAATTTAAAATTAATTAAACAAGTCTCAAATTACAGGCAATTAGATGCATATGAAAGCATCAGAATTAAAAAATGTAAAAATAGTATGAACAGAGACAACGGTCCAGTTCCTTCAAGTTCTTTGTTCCTACTACTCTAGTGGTGGAAATCTAACTGTTACGCTCAGTGGGCTTTGACTCGGTTGGCTACATTTTGCCACGCCCACTCGGTGCCCACTGAGCGAGTATATAAACGCTCAACTTGTAGATTGTACTTTAGTTTATAATCATCTGCTGATGATGCTAACATGGTTAGCGAAACGCGCGTCTAGTGTGAAAGTAAAAGTGTTTTGGTGTATTGTGGTGATTTAGTGTTTTATTTTGCTGTATAATTATGTGAAAAAAAAATAGCTAGATGAAATCCAGTACTCAAAATGCGCTTTTTTCTATTCGCTGCATAAAATGATTCTCTTTTCATGTTAAAAGGTATACGTGGAGTTCTACTTCGAAAAGCAGCTACAAAGCTGACCAATGTTCAATATTAATTTTGTCTCACCCTGTATAACTTGTTGGGTTGTTTTAATTTTATTTAAAGTACAATAGTTATTTTAACTACATATTAGATTATACCGGGAAAATTCCAATTTAGGTAGCTTTTATTGAATTTTAAAAATTGTTCTTTATTTTTAGAAAATGTTAAATAAGTAAAAACCTTACATTTTAGTCATATGCTTCCCTAATAAAACTCATCTTTATTTGTCTCCTAGAATAGGAAAATTAATTCATATATAGGGTGTTTTATTACAAAAAACGAAACCCCTGTAGAACTCTCTATATTTTTAAAAAGTGCTCTGAATTAGCCTACATATGCTCACAAAATTTCATTTCAGTACAACTGTCGTTCTCCTTAGAGCCTCTGTGTCGTATGAGTGTCGCCACCCTTTATATGGGGGACCCTTAACCCGGCATTTTTTAACTAAAAATTATCTAAATAAAAAAAAAGTGAAAAAATCCAAATTTTCAAAAAAAAATCGCCAAAAATACCTCTTTGGCGTGCTTCTGGGGTAGAAATATACTACCCCTAAACGTATTTGCACTTATTTAACACTCACCCTGTATAACTATAAAATATATTGTGATATAAAAATTTTAGTTCTCTGTGAGATGTCTTTTATATAGTATGTATTTGTTGTAGAAAAACTGTACGTTTTAAAAATTTATATCCTCTACACACTTAAAACCCTATTCATCACTCCTACGAGACAGACTACCCTGTCCCTTATATTACAAGCTACGTTCTTATATGCACTTTGTCAACAAATGTAGCGCTCACGAAAGGATGTGGTTATAACGAAATGTCATTAAGATAAATGGATTCTTAGGTGTTCTAGGTGTGCAATTTTACAGTCAACTGAGTGGTGTGTATTACGCTGTGTATTATAGTGGACAATAATATGACCAAGACATGATATACTTTTCGTATTATTGCCGCTACGGCAGAATTATATTTAATCATTTTTATTAACACAATACTTCAACGTAATGATATATGTCCTTCTCGTTAGTAAGTACAATAAAAGTTGTTTCGGTGTTATTGAACTATTTTTCTTCGGTATCTGTTGTATGTGCCTCAATAAATTTTGCTTTCAGCAACAATTTTCGAATACAGGGTAGTGTTTCTCATACGACGCGGAGGCTCCAAGGAGAACGGTAGCGTTGATTGAAGAAATAAGAAGATGCGCAATCTTATGGGCGATTTCGTGGCACAAAATCTGTCCGAGATGTAGTTGGCGTTACCGTCAGCCTGTCCGAGATTTAGTATCGCTCTGTGCCGCTGATAGTGGTTTACAGCGCAGCGGATAAAGAATACTGTACCGTAGTTCTGATTTCAGTCGACAGATTTAATGGTTGCCGGAGACAGTGTTGCCAGAACTACTGATTAATTTGTAGATTTACGGATTTTGGGTACAGTACGTTAATAATATTGATTTTCTATCGTTAAACAATTTAATGATAATATATGATTAATAAATAAATTAATATTATATGATTAAACAAAAAAACGGCGTCAGAGTTGGCTTGGAAATGAAGATCTCTGTTATTTCGTATATAAAATAGTATGGTAAATGTCAATAATCGTCATTTTCAAGACAACTAAAGGACTTTTTTTGATCATACGACATATTCAGTACCTATAAAAGAATTTTTATTTTTGTTGTTTATTCTGTGTTTAACACGAATAAATTTTTAATACATAAATGCCAGATTTTTCATCCAAAGATATTTTTGTCAAACCTATTACAAATATTACACATTTTAATACGGCAACACTGTCGCTTTCAGATCCACACCGTCTTCGATATGCCTTCGCTGGCCGAATTAGAGTAAATAAGTATTCTATGCGTTGACCGAAGAATGAATGGTGTCACCACCGTACAGCACTTGAGACGTAAGGGAAAATCAAATTAGCCTTGTCACGAATTCGCCGGTTAGGTTGTGTATCTTCCCAATTCTTTCAATCAACGACGGTAGTTTATATTGAAATGAAATTTCGGGAGCATATGTAGGTTAATTTAAAGCATTTTTTAAAAATATATAGTTTTACAGGGTATCCTCAAAAAAATTACGCATCAAAGTTGTTTTTTTTTTGGTGGAACACCCTATATATTAATTTATTTTTGGATTCTAAGAAAAAAATAAATGTGTGTTTTATTAAAAAAGTGTATGACTAAAATGTAAGGTTTTTGACATACGAGTATTTCACGTTTTACAAAAATAAAGAATAAAGTTTAAATTTCAATAACAGCTACATAAATTATAATTTACCCTGTATAGCCTGATATTTAGTTAAAGTAACTATTGTATAAAATGTCATACCTATGTGGCGGATTTATTTTTCCGTATTTCGCCACTGCACTGCAAGAAAATCTACAAAATAAAATAATTAATTTTTGTAAACACTTCTGCGTTAAACCTAAACGGACGCTGCTTGTCAGAAGTTATGTTTATAGTAATACAAATATGCCTAACAAAGAAAAAAATGCTTAATGTTTCGGAAAGTTATCTCTTTCCGTCGTCGGAAGCAAAAAAAATACAACGAATAAAGAAAAAAACTATTTAAAATATTTAAATTCAACTATTCGAGAACACTTTACTTTTTTAAAACAGACACGTCTACAAGAAAACCGTTGACGTTCTGTTAAAATGACATTTTTAACTTGATATTTAAACTTCAAAATTAACAATATTACTACGTGATAACAATTACTTATTAAGGTAAAACCAAAAAGCCCCAAACTTTCTGTATGCTTATTTTTAAATTTTACGTATGTTATGTTTATTTATCTTGTTGTATCTATTGTTCTTTAAAATCGAAGAAGCGATTGCCATACATTACTACCGTATGATCGAATAAAAACGGCGTCAACGATGGCTATGAAATGAAGATCGCTGTCATTTTATATGTAAAATTATATGGGAAATGTCATCGATCGTCATTTCCAAGCCAACTGGACGCTGTTTTTTTTCGATCATACGGTAGCATCTGCAGATGCATGAGCAAGACATTTATTTTTATTAGATTGAATCAAAAAAGCCCCTTTTATTTTTCTTTTAGAGGTTATCGCTTCTTTCATTATAATTTTGGCGTTATTAAAATTTATTCTGTGCCCTGTGTCCCAAGAATGCTGACAAATCTTAGATTTGTGAAAATCTCCCTTTCTTAAATAATCTTTTTGTTCTTTAATTCTGACATTTAAGGGTCTAGATGTTTCACCAATGTAAAATTTATCGCATTCACAGGGTATTTGGTATATTACATTTTTTGTTTGCAGTGCAGTGGCGAAATACCCATAAATGTTTTTTTTGGAAATAACCATTGTATGTAAAACCAAATTAAAATTTGATTTGAAAAGTTACACAGGGTGAGACAGAATTAATATTGAACATTGGACACTTTTAAAAAAAGTTACTCTTTTATTTTAATTGGAACACCCAGTATATGATAGTAAAATTTACTTCCAATATACAAGTATTTCCCTAGAAGTTATTCGACATAAATTTTTAGCAATCGGGATGTAGCTGAAGAAGATAAGTAAGTTTTTTTTTCTTAAAAAACGTCTTGAGATAGGAATAGGCAATAATAAGAACAAAGAAAGTTACGGTAACTTCTTTTTCAAGGCCAAGATCTTGGCTTAGGCCGCTTCGCGGGTCAAGAACGCCAGTTGATGACCTGCCGCAGCCACACCATCGGCGCTTTGCAGAAACGATTTCTAAGTTGATAGGGTCCAGCGAGTCGAATGATCTCTTTAAACAGTGAAATTTAATTCTAAGTGGTTGTTTCTTGTCAATTTGGCGTTTTAATGTGTGTCAGTGCATGTTAGTTTGAAGGATTTTGAAATTTGGATATAGATGTAGGCAATAATTGGTCGGATTCAGCGCTAAATTTGAAGGTAGAGTTGTGAATCGATAACTATTATCTTCCAATTATGTGAATAGTTGAAATAAATTGTTTTGTATGTATAGTAAAATATCACAGACAGACAACAATTTAGACAACCAAACAAAATATGAAAGTTGGAATTCTCCAACATATACACTCAGATAAAAAAACGCAACGTATAAATTTTTGGTCAAATTTAAAGTGTTATATTTTTGTTATTTTTAGCCCTATTTTCATGAATTTTTTAGCAAACTATATATAATTATATCAACTTTAGTTCGTAAACTCAGTTTTTTATAACCTTTAATAATTGGCATATTATACAGGGCTAATCGAGGAGTTATTTTTTATCCTAACTTTAAAACACCCTGTGCAATAATTTTGTGTGTACATTTTTCTAAAATTTCCCGATAAGAACCATGTCTCCTGAGCATTTTGTTTTTTGGATCATGTCAATACATGCTTTGGTTAATTTTTGAGAGCGAAATGAACTGATCATGATCAATTTGCAATTTTTTCAATTATCATTACCTTTGATGTAATTTTTTAATATGACGAGATGGTTTTGGTGACTATTGTCGTAACGTCATATTACGCTGTATCGGTTACTCTATCCTAAATAAAAAAAAAACGTTAAAGACTAAGGATACAGTCCTAGTTTTAATAAACATTAATAACGATAACAGAACTAACGATATTAAGGAAAACATCTGTAATACTGAAGTATACAAACAGAAAAAAAAAATCTAAAAATTACCCTAATACTGTGTATTGCCTCCCCTGGCTGCTATAACTGCCTGTATATGTCCATTCATCCTGCCATTGAGGCTGAATATATCATATTGCGTTATGCTTTGCCATTCTTCTTTAAGAACCAAGCGAAGTTCATTTAATGAAGCTGGTACCGCTTTGCGACCTCTAACCCTCTTGCCAAGCATTTTCCAAACGTCGAACATGATGGGTACTTCATAGTAGTATATAGTTCACAATAATCACCAAAGCTGCCTTGTCATATTGAAAAAAAAAAACTTCAAAAAGAAATTATAATTGAAAAAATTGGAAATTGTTTGGTGGCAAGTTCATTTCGGTCTTAAAAATTAATCAAGGCATGTATTGTATGATCCAAAAAACAAAATGCTCAGGAGACATTGCTCTGACCGTAAAATTACATTTTAGGAAAATTTACACACGAAATTATTGCTCAGGGTGTATCAAAATTAGGGTAAAAAAACAACCCCTCGATTAACCCTGTATAATATGCCAACTACTAAAGTTTATAAAAAACTTCTTGAGTTTACTAATTAAAGTTGGTATAATTATATACAGCTTGTTAAAAAATTCATGAAAATAGGTCTAAAATTAACAAAAATATAACTCTTTAAATTTGATATAACTTTATAACTCTTTTTTTGCATCTCAGTGTAGAATCTCATAAATATAAAATATATAAAAATGCCAAGTCGTGCAATGCAGTTCTTCCACTACAAAAAGTTCTGAGATCTCATTTAAAATCAAGTCAGTTATCAATACCTATTCAACAACTTTGGTATAAATTGTTCTCTAATAAATTACCTATCAACATTTATATTAAAAATATAAACATTATAATAACTAATTAATATATTGAAAAATAAAAAAAAATCGTCAGACAAATATTCTAATAATTTTTTAGTCAAGAGTTTTATATGCATTAAATTACTAAAAATACTGTTTATTTTTATTTTGTATGTAGAAAGTGCCTCTGGTAAAAATCTATTATAAAAATGCAACACTATCAAGAGTCTTATAGTTAATACCAAGAGCAAGGTCTTGGTCTTGGTTTTGCATTTGCTCATCACTAGATGTACCTAGGCATTTCTAAGATCCATATTCAGAGTATATTTAGATATTGTAATTAATGAATAGTATTTAAATATTTAGTTGACCAGAGAAATGGGGTTTTAAAAAGAAACTACTAATTTCCAATTAAATGCTAATTGATCTAGAGAAACTTGTTGAAATTATGGTTTTGCATATATGCAACTAATTAACATAGCAGCTTGCGGATTGATTATACATTACTTAAGATTTTTTTTAAAATAAATAAATTAAAGGATTGGTAAATATGGAATTCACAGTATATAATAACAATAAGAAATGTTGGTTAAACACTATAATTATATTTATTTTATACTTAAGATTCATAAATTCGAAAAAACGAAGGATAAACCTTTTTTAAAAATTTATTGATGCTAATTTTAATTGTTGTGATAGCCTGTGATGTCATTCTGTGTACAATAATTTGAATTTATTTTTAGCCAAGAATGGCGTTTTTTAAATTTACATAAAAAACAAGTTTCTTTTTGATCCTACACGATACAACATATAAAAATGTGTTTTTTGTTTACATTTTATACAGCCACATGAGCTTTTGGAAGATTTACGATAATTCATTTTATTTCTGACGTATTTTATTTCACAATAGAAAAAAAAGTTACCAAAATTTATTTGGTGTTTGAAACTAGTTGAAACAATGTTTTTTTTTTAATTTTCTGAATTTTGAGGAGTTTTGAAAGTATTTTATATACCTAGATTATTATAGTGTGTTACGAATCAGGACAGATTTCGACAGATGACATCCAAAAAATGACAGAAAATGCAATTTGATTGTTAAATGACAGAAACAATTGTCACTGTCAGAAATCCTGGTATTATGGACAGATTATAGTATTACTTGACAATGGTAAAAGGAAAAAAATATTATTAAAAATTTAAATAATTGAAAAAGCAAACTATCTAGCTAGAAAAATAGCGAGAACTCTAGTGACTGGACTAGAACCGTTCTGCTTCACAAGTGGAAACAAAACTTAAAGCGGAACTCAAGAACCTGGAAGACTCAATTCGTAACCTGAAATGGGAATCCTCCAACTGTCTAAGACACTCGAAGAAATTTCCCAGAACTTACGACCGAGAAAAATTAAAGATTTTTCTTGATTTATGTAAGAACAATCTTTGGATAATCACGGTATTTTTAACAAGACACTATCTTCTCAACGAACACCTCAGTAGATTGAAGCTAAGAAACAACAGCAGATTCTGTGGGGAAAATGGGGAAACACCAGAACACCTCATCACTGGCTGTGCCGAGACGATAACCATTTGTGCCATGAAATTCAGTACGACTGATATCGGAGATGGAGAACTAACCTCTGTAAACCGTCTCAGATACTGTCTTTTGTCACAGTCCTGAGACTAAATGATGAGTTATAACTAAAGAATGGGGGATACACAATAGATCTACATAGAGCACAGAGACGGATTGATAAAAATGAGTGCATTACTGTGTGCTGCTATTAATTGTAGTAATAATTCAAAAAATTGTTCTTTGAGTTTTTTTAGATTTCCATCGGATATAAATCGGCAAGCTGATGGTAATTATCAATTAACATTTAATTATATTTGGTTATTTTAGAAGCTGAGATATTATGTAATTAATTAAATGTTATTATTTTTTTTAGCAAGTGGGCAGATTTTAAAAATAGTTTTTTAGATATACAGCTTGTCTCAAATATGCGCATGAAAATATTTTTCGGTCAGGGGATTTGCCATAAAATTTTCATTCCAATAATAGTTTACGAGATAATTTATATAGATTTATTTTTGAAACAATTTTAGAGTAAATATTTTGTACATCTAAAGTCTCCGCAAATTATTCATATTTTTTAATTGAAAGAATTTTATAATAGCATAATCTCTTATAAATTTAGTGGACTGTATTTTTTATGTTTTTTATTTATTTTAAGTTTATTATAAGTGGTCGTAATATAACAATATTCAAAATATTATAGACAAAATATTGACAAAGCAAACCTTTGAAGGAGGGTAAAAAGGCAAATAACTCACAATCTTTAAGTTGTTTAATTAAAAAAAAAATTAATGCTTAAAAAAGCAAGCGACATTGAATTTAAAATATTCCCATCTTCAGGCCCAAAGCTAAAAACGGCAAAATATTGAGTTTATATTTGAGGGAAGAAAAGTGCCACGCCTAGCTTTAAACCACCTTAAATATACAGGGTGGACCATTAGTGCGAGGAAGTCCAATATCGTCGTCGTTGTCGAAGATGTGAAAAAAGTTTTATTCATATGTTTCAAGGTTTATAAAGGGGCGTATCCTAAAATATTTAGTTATATACAGGGTGTCACAAAAAAGTGCCACGACTATACTTTGCCTAGCTAATAGACCACGACTATACAGCTACGTCAGTGGTCACGGGAGGCGAGAACAAGGTCATATAAAGTGGCAGAAAAAGAACAAAGGATTTGACAAGGAGTAAAACTACTAGTTTCCTTATACTATGTTAATACCCCACCCATACATTCTGCATTTTGAAGGTCTGTGGTCAAGTAGAACTGGATAGCAACACTGGATAAACAATTGAAGGAAACTGAAATTTAAAAAAAAGGAAATTATTGAAATTGGTCACGAATAGAGATTTTTTTCAACTGATTTGCTGTGATGTTGTAATAATTTATGTTCATTTATATTCATATTATATGTTTTAAAGAAATTGAATTAATTAATTCAATAAGAGTGACATTTTATTTATTATTTTACACATTTTAATATAATTAATATTATTTTACATTCTTCCAAATTGTCGTCGTTTTTATCTATGTAATTTATTTATATTAAATATCGTTTAAATAATGACGTAGAATGACTCTTAACGTTTCTAATGAGACATATTGGGAATACTCGTTAAGTATGAATAACTTAACAGAAAAGGTACTTTTTACAGAAATTGTAATTTTAAATACATACTTCCCATAAACTGTTATTGCTGGGAAAACATTCCTAATCACCTTTAACAATATTATGCATTTTTCTGTTATATTTTTTCTAATTAATTTAATGCTAATTACATTATTATAAATTATTTATCCTCATTTATACTGATAGGTGAGACGTGTACTGTTTAATGAGTTTTTTATTGTTTTAAAGTTTTGTTTTCCTTTTTTAATGATCACTTTATATTAGTATAGAGGGTTGTCCTATTTTTTGTAACTACACCGGATATATACCTTTTTCGTGTCTGCCAGACATTTAGACTCGTTACTTGTTATAGACTACTGTTCTTTTGCGCGTGCCTGGAACGGCGCGCTACAATCGCACAGGAAAGAGTGCTAATAATAAGTTTTTTTTAAGTAAGGCTAATCTAAAGGAATTTCTTTGTAAACAGTTTTGTTTGAAAGGAAGTTATTTGTTATATGAGCTACGCCGGAGTCTCGCTGGACCCTGTATGCCAATAAAAAATAGTTTTTAGTAGATTCACTTTTAGCGGTCTTTGCTTATAAGGCCTGCCGTCTATTTAGGAGAATGTTCTACTATGAATTATTACCAAATACTCATTTTAAGGCTGAGGTAACCTAAGTACTCATTTTTTAATTAATAATAAAAACAAAATAATAAAAGTTTAAACTTATGTTTTAAATTAAATGAAGGGTCTTGACTGTTTTTTGTTTGTTACTTCTTTAATAACCTTTATTTTACTTTCAAGTGATTTAAAAGAAAGATTTATATCTGTAGCACCCTGTATATATCAATTATAATGACAATAAATAACTTAATAACTTATAGAGGTAGGTAATGGTATTTGGATAAAAAAATTGTATTATTTATTTCATCTTGAATTATTTTCCTGTTCGTCGCTCATTTATGAATTATTCCACAAGATTTTTAATTGTTTGGGAATATAAGTTACTTAAACGAAATACTTAAAAATCAATTTTGATTTATACTATACCCTAATGCCAAAGAGCGTTTCTCGATGATGATCTCACTCGATATTTTTTTTCTATCTGAACTTTAAAAACAAAAATAAAACAGTAAAATGAAATTAAACAACAAAAACAAACGTCTAGAACCGTTTGCATTATGTTTTCGTTTGTGTACATTTGACGTACCCCTACACACCAGTTCCGTTCGGTGTGTACGAGCCTTATCGTATACCGTATGATAAAAAAACGGCGTCAATTTGGCTGAGAAATGACGTTGATGGCATTGATCATATATTTTACATATAAAATAAGAGAGAAATTAATTTTCAAGTTAAATCGGACACCGTTTTTCATTATATGGTATCAGATGTTGTGTGGTTTATGATTTGACCCTCGCAATTGTCTAGATATCCAGGTTTTTAAAGATTTGTGTTACTTGATTTTTTTAAGAACAGAACCCACCGCAAAGGTATACCGGGTGCGTCTCAAAAGTGGCTCACCCCTATAACTTTTTCATTTTTTGAGATGAAATAACGAGATTTGGTATGTTAGTATATAACATACATTAGGATTGATTGATGTATAGAATTGTTTTTGGTCACTGCTTCCTGTTTCACTGGAAATGACTACAACTTTTGATTTTTAAATAACACCACCGGTATATTTTTAATTCATTTGATAGAAAATAATACTCTGAATAGAATGACATATCATATGTCAACTTTTGACATTTTGGATTAAAAAATATTTTATTTTAAATTTCAATCTAAAGTACCATGGCTGTATTAGAAATGATAATTTTTAATCAAAGGGCCTTGGAAAAATAGATTTCATCGTCTAATGTTTTTCGTGTCTTGTCTTGGCCGGTTAAAAGACACCCAAATCGTATTTTTAATCATATGTCAAGTTTTTCAAATGGAGCAAGGGTGGCTCATTACAATATTCGGAAAAGCATGTTTTTACGCATAATTTTCCTGGCACACTTGATATTTCTAGTCAAATTATCATTATAAAGAGCATGTTACAATTTCTAATAAACCATATGCGAAATTGTATACAGGTGGCCCATCGAAAACGTTCCGCAAGGCATAACGACCAGGGTATTTTTTTTCAGAAAATTCAAAAACACGTCAATTTTATTTGTGAGGGGGACAACTTTTGCCCCAAAAATTATTGCAAAATCTTCAACCCTCTAAGCGGGGGTGTCATCCCCCAATTTTTTTCAAATGGAAAGGGGGGTCAAGTGGTACCGCAATGAAAAGGGCTTTCTATTCTCTATATTTTACCGCTTCGTTTTTGAAAATCGGTCGAGTCATTCAGAAAATATGAAGGATTGAAATTTGAAAAGTTTATTTAAACATTTATCAGAGTAAATGATAAGGATAAATTCCTTCAACCAATTTGCTATTTTTTCTTATTATTTCTAGATGTTTACGCATTTTTTCACTTGCCACAAGATTGAACGATCAGGTGGGGTAGTTGCTAGAGAGCTGTTCTGTGACTTGTGTGTTGAAGTTTTTCTCAATATCGTTAAACTTTTTAACAATTATGGTGTACTCGCTTGCAGAAAAAGTGGAAATAATCGAACTAATTCATTAGAAGACCTGCGAAGACGAATTATTGATGTTTGTCGCGAAGTGACCCCGGAAATTCTTCAGAATGTTCGAGAACGGTTTGAAAATAATTTGTATTACTGTATGGAGGTTGACAAGCAACATTTTCAGCATTTGCTTCATTAATAAGTTAAGTTTTTTTTAATTAATTCAATTTATGCGTTTTTTTTGCAAAAAGTACTTTTAAAATTTCAATCCTTCATATTTTCAAAATGACTCGACCGATTTTTAAAAACGAAGCGGGGAAATATAGGGAATAGAAAGCCCTTTTCATTGCGGCGCCACTTGACCCCCCTTCTTATTTGAAAAAAGTTGGGGGATGACACCCCCGCTTAGAGGGTTGAAGATTTTGCAATTATTTTTGGGTCAAAAGTTGTCCCCCTCACAAACAAAATTAACGTGTTTTTGGATTTTTTGAAAAAAAATACCCTGGCTGTTATGCCTTGCGGAACGTTTTCGATGGGCCAGCCTGTATACATATGATATATCATTCTATTTCAGAGTGTCAATTTCTATCGAAGAAAGTAAAAAAATACCGATGGTGTCATTTAAGAATTAAAAGTTGTAGTCATTTCCGATGAAACAGGAAGTGAGCAAAAACAATTGAATACGTCAATCAATCCTAATTATTTATGTCATATATTAACACACCAAATCTCGTTTTTTTATCTGAAAAAAAAAGTTATAGGGATGAGCCACTTTTGAGACGCACCCGGTAGGCTTTACTCAATTATCTTTAATTATTTTCTCCTTTTTTAATTATTAATTTATAGAGAAATTAAGAAAAGTTTGCGTGCACGTCATCAAAGACGTCGAAACTATAATAGAATAAATACAAATTCTCTTGAAATTTAGAGCGCACTTTTTCTTTTTTTTTTTATAATCATATTTATTCTGGTTAAAAAAGACAGCACGCTGTCGCATAAGTAAACGAGGGCCCATGAAAAAGGCTTTATGTAGGTACCACTCATGGCAAATGTTTCCGGTTGTCATGAAGTTTTTTTTGCAAATGAGTTTTCGTTGGCAAATTTCAGATTATATCTGCGTTTTGTTTAGTTAAAACGGCGATTTTCATACCAATAAAATGGGAAAATCCCTAAACAGACGAGATCAGGAATTCGTCTCGTTTCTACTTAATTATTTTCAACAGAAAGAGAGTGCTGTTAAACTGGAAATAGAGAGGTAGAAACCTTTTTTGTTTATATTTTTGCTTAAGTTTTGCGTCTTTTATTGAAAATACATAGATCTTTCATGTATTTCAACTGCGTCCAATATCAGTTTACTGACTGTGAATAGAATCTCACAAAAAGTTAAGACTTATGTTAGCTACTTAGAATTTTACATTTTTCAGTTTGTATTCAGAAAGCTTGCTAATAAATAATTAATGTGCCTATGCAAATTTGGAAAAGACGATTAAGTAAATGTGACGTTATTAACCAAAAACTTTGCAGAATTCAACTTAAAATAGAATTAACTTAATGACGTCTTTCTTTGATTGGGTTTCAACCGGCTTGTTTGTCAACTGGTCGCAGCATATGAGTGTACCACCGGTGGAAAAAAAATTCCGCCTTCTCCTACCCAGAACGAAAACCGTCGTTTGTTTTTTTTTTGACGCAAACGTCCAGTTCACTTGTGCATTTAGGGTGTGGGTTTACAAATGACCTTAAGGATATAAGCCGGACTTACACGCGTTTCTGTTTTTTCATTCTTGTCTGTCTGTGCTGTATCGCTCGCACTGTCTAATTATTGCCTATATTGACAACAATAAAGAACGAGACAGAGAGACTATTTAAAAATTCACTCATAAATCAGCATAAAATTACTGTTGCCGCTAAAAGACGTTAAGTTTATTAGTTGTATATATAAAAAAAGATATAAATCTTTTGATCTCGGTTAGTCTTGTGGAAGTAGCTGGTCGGTGAGGCAGAGTTGATTGATTTTCTGTGATGGATTATTAGTTTTTTAAAATTGTTTAATTTATTTAGTGTGTTTGAAGAAGTTTTATTATAAAAATAGTGTGAATCATGATTAATATAATAACAAGGTTTTCGAAGTGGTTTGGCTCGAAAGCTGTTAAAGAAGAGAAGAAGGATGGCGAGCCCTTTTTTATGTACCTTAGTGTTGTTTTGGGTAAGTAATAATTTTTATTAAAAAATGTGTTTTTAGAGGAAACTTAGAAATAATGCATACTGAACTATAAATTTCGTATCGCCATTTAAACAATACATTTTTAAGTAAAAATATTATTTTATAAAAAAAATATTTAAAAATATAAAAATGCCCTAATTGGATGCATAATATGATTTTCCAAGTGAGTTTGATAGTAATTTAGATAAATATGTGCGAATAATTGGTGTTTTAATAGGATTAATTTCGAAATATGATTAAAGAATTCTTCATTTTTTTAATTAATTTGATCTTCAAATTTTGTATATTCTTTCAAACGCTAGTGTGTTCCTTCCTGATTTAATTAATTTTGTGAATTTATGCGGCAAGCCTGGGCCACAATGCAGACTAAGTATATAGAGTGTAAAAGAATAAACGTTAAAAAAATGTGGGGGGTGATTGATTTAAAAAATAAGGAATGTTTGCCATTTAAAATTTATAGATGTAACTCTTTTTATTAAATTGTTAAAAATGGGTTTGTTGGTATAAACTAACAAAATTGCAATTTGGGCAGGTTTCTTTTTGTGTATATCTTTTATTCCGCACAGAATATAATATACTTATTGTTAGTTACATTTAATTTAATTTGTTATATTTTTTATATCACTGCTAATTGTGAAATAAAAAATAGCATATAATATTTTTCCATTTTTTTTATATTTAAACATTTTTGTCATTTTGTGCAAATTGAGATTAAGGCATATATTTATTATAATTTTTGGATCAGCCTAATGCAGATACCTTTGTATAGAAACGCCAAATCAAATAATTTTATAAATAAAACATAATTTTATATGAAAACCTGCAATCTTTTAAAAATCGTAGTCATTTAAATGTAATTTATATACACCCTGTATTTGTATTAAAATTTTACATTTTATTAAAATAAATACAGGGTTACTGAAATAAACGGGAACGGTCGATTATTGGGTAAAATGTACAAGGTGCCGCAAAAAGTTAAATACAAAAGTTATAGGATTTTTAAATGTCTAGTAGCTAGTAGTAAATTTAAGTATACAGGGTCGGTCATAAAGTTGTGGCACATTAAAATTTATTTGTTTTAAATGCAACCCCGTGTATATTATTGCATATTTCAATTCTTTCTTCAATTTTAAGCGATAATTGTAATACACATAATGTACCTAAATTCAACCATTTTCGAATTATGAGATGTTAAACGAAAATTTTGTAATTTTTAGACTTGATATAATCTCATTTTATACATATACAAATGCTAATTTGAAAACTAATGTCAAATATTTGTAAGTATTACAGTTTCCGCAGAATGGCATCGTTGAATGAAACCGAACACATCGAAATTAATTAAATAGAATTGTTTTAAATGATATTTTCAAAAGTCAATAACTCGGAAACGGTTGTTTTGATTGAGGTGTAATTCGATTTTGAAACATGCAATAATATACAGGGGGTTCCATTTAAAAAAAATCTTTGATGTGCCACAACTTTATTACCAACTAAAATGTATACTTAAATTGTATACTTAAGTTGTGTGTCGATGAGCTTAATGGTCCTTTAGTAAATGAACTTATCTTTGTCATCGAGAATCCGGAAATATGGAGGAAATATGCAAGTTTCCTTTTTTCATTTTTATAAATACATTATTAAAGAATTAGGTAACTTTATTTTTTGGTTAGATGAAAAATCATAACGTTTCGTTTTTCTGGGACCATCATCAACTTTATTTTGTGAAATAAAGATCTAGATTTTTCATTTCTTTTTTTTAAATCTTATGATGTCTCAAATTACGTAGGTACCCAAAAAATATTTCTTGTTTTTTACAGCCATAACAAAAGTGTATTTTACTCATTTTTTTATATGCTCTAAAAAATGAAATTAAAATCCAGGTTTGTATTCAACATAAGTCACCAAAATGTCACCAAAGGATGCAGCTAAAAAAGTTTTTTTGAGAATATATTTGTAATTTTTTTCTAAAGCTTCATTCAGAACTTCGAAATTAGTGAAATAATTGTTATTTGAAATACGTAATAGTTATTTCAATTGGCATTCAAAGTTCTTCCTCTAATTTCTATGTAAGCATTCAGAACGTCAAAATTAGTGGTAGTAATTTTCAATTAGCCGAAAAAGTTAACAAACTTAACTTTTTCCACTAATTAAATTTCAAAATATCCGAGTAATGTCTTGTTGGCTTGTTATTATCATCCCTCAAGAGTAATAGTGGCTAGAAATAAAAAAATATTGTTTTATAAGAAATTATTAGGCATTCTCTATGAACACAAATGATTTCCGCAGGCTGTTGCTAAGATATTCAATTAATTTTAATTGTATTTTATTATAGACATTGTGAATGCTCGTAAAGTCATAACTATAAAGTATAATTGAAACCATTAGTTTATTCCACTAATTTCGAGATTCTGAAGGAAGCTGAACTGTTAAAATAATCTCATAAACTTATAAAAACCAGAAATTTCAGTTTTTCCTACATATTTCTGGAAATGACAAAAATTCAACTGAATAAAAATTCAACTACTGAACGAACTATCATTGGTCTCATTGACATTTGAGCAACTCTATATATTTATTACCGTTTCCGAGATTCCAATGGTTAAAGTAGAATTTAAAACACCCTGTACTATATCTACTGGTATAAAGAAATTTCTTTTCTTGATTCTCTTCTTTGATGAGCGATGATTGATTTTTTCAATGTTTGTATTTACCAAGCACGGAATCACTATTCAAAAATAAAAATTATACAACATAAAATCAAGTTTAGATATGAACCAGAATAGGAATCATAAATCTAAATCTTTAAAATTACCATTAAAACATATTTTTTATTACTATTTTATGGGCCATGAAAATAGAATTTACATATCAAGAATCTCCACGTGCCACAAACTAAATATAATAATTTGCATATTTTTTTAAAGAATGCTGCATATTACGATTCAAACAATTATCCTTGACTGTGACATTACTGCGATTTTTTTGAATATTCTCTCAGTTAAAAAACCTGAAAAACCTCTGGCGGGTTTAACGTCCAAAAAATAATTATACAATTTATAAATAATCTCTTAAATTGTTGCATTCGAATTTATCTTGTCAACGAGTTACCTTTCGTTGGTAAATGGTTGTTGACGGCCTAATAAACGACTAACATTGTTAAATGTTTAGTTTAATTAAATAATTAATTATAGGGTAAAATTAAATTTCACTGCTTTTACCCTGTTGTGTGTATGACAAGAAAATTGTTTTAAATTATTTTTTTTGTAAATGAAATAATTGTATAATTTATTTTTGTGTTTTGGAATTTTGATGTTCCTATTAATAATTATAAATAATATAACAAAAACTGACACAACTAATAAGAAATAATTAATTGAGTCAAAAGCAATGAAGACTCTGTTAACTATTTTAGAGTAGAATGTTGAATTAGTGGGAGAGGGGTTAATCACTGCGACCTTACAGATCTTACAGTCCCAGGGCTTTGACAAAAGCCAGTGCCTACGGTTTTACAGAAGGGTATTTCTCCATCTCCAATATCAGTCGTACCAAAGTTTATGGCACGAATGGTTGTCGTCTCCGTGCACTCAGTGATGAGGGTTCTGGTATTTCCCCATTTTCCCCACAGAATCTGCATTCGCCGTTTTTTCTTAGCTTTAATCTACTGAGGTTTTCATTGAGGAGACTGTGTCCTGTTAAAAACTCCGTGACAATCCGAATTTGATTTTTCCTGGTTGTAAGTCCTCAGAGTCTTCTTATTAAAGTATCCCAGACCATCGCAGGATTCCCATTCCAGGTTACGGATCTTCCAAGTTCCTGAGTTCCGCCTTAAGTTGGTTTCCGCGTGGAAAGCAGAACGGTTCTGGTCCAGTTAGTGGAGTTTTCGCTTCTTTTCAAGCTAGATCATTTGTATTATCATTACCTTCTATCCGTTAATGAGCTAGCACCCAGAATAGGAGAACTTTGTTTTGTTTGCCTAAATTGCTCAGCTTCTCAATACATTTTTTTACCAACTTATTGGTTGATAGTGAGTTAATGGCTTTTAACTCTGCTTGACTATCAGATAAGATTTTCTGTTTCCGATAGTTTTCCGAAGATTGATTTTAGAGTATAAAATTGACAATAAATTTCTCACAAATTTTTATTGTCGATGAAGGAGGGACATACATATATGTCTATTGAAGTCTCTATGTCTTTACCTTGGTTATTAAATTAGATATTTGAGTGTGGTTTTCTTCTGATCTCTAGGATACATTTTCTAGTCCTATCCTTTTCAAAAAGTCTTCGTTCTTCTTCAGATTGATATAGAACCTGCGCATGGCTTTGTCTGTCAAACCTATTAGCTTTAGATGCCTATTAAGTTTGCAATGTCCTCTTAATGCCCACCACAGCTTTAACACTTTTTCTGGTTTTTTTTTGGTTAGGTTCAAGTTTTTGGCAAATGTACAACTACGAACTTTTTTACTTGTGAATTTCTCCACAATTCTTGATATTTTTTGGCCACTCACTGTTTTGTAGCCTTTCTTGTAAGTGCTTTTGCAACGCCGCAGAAGGGTTTTGGGCCGATGAGCGGCATTGATTGGACTTGTTTGTCCATTTTGTGGCCCTTGTGACTCTCGTACCCCGTACAATAGTCTAGAATTGACTAGATTGATTATTATTGCTTCTACACAATAATGGATTGCCGTTATTTCTGTCTGAAAAGTTGTAACATCCTTGGATAGTATATACGAGGAAAGCTAGTTATTGTTTCAGCCCTATTATGCCAGACGTTCTTGAGCTATCTCAATACAAGATTACCCCAACGTAACAAAATCAATCTAATCTACCTTGGTACGTTTCTATGTTCGATTTCTTTGTTTTGCCTGAAATTTTTATTATATCAGAGCATAGTTCCTAATTTTCGTTTGCCAATTATATCAATCAATCTCTTTTTTTATTGTAGAATTGTTTTTATCATTTTTTCAACTGTTTTTTCGGCATTAATGCATTGAAAAGATGAATATATCAGCATGAATTAAAAATTTTCTAATAAGAATATTGCAATTTAATAAACGTCTATATTTGATATTTTTACTATTTTATCAAATTGTGCCGTATTCTACCGATATTTTCACGTTGCCTGGTTAACCTGGTTTTACAAAGGAATACAACTTTAATGAATAAAATATTCTCTGATGTAATGCCTCTATGTAACAATATTTTTCCTCTATTACGCAATACCGAAAGATAGTGCACCAATTTTAGATAAAAGAATTTAAAATACATTTATGATGCAAACCCGCACCAGTCAACATTTTATAGAAAATATTCATAACAGTGCCACAAATCATGTTTATTGTTTGTTTCAGCTTTTGTTGCATATGTCAACTCGTAACAAGGTAAATAGTCTGATTGCAATCACGCAAAATTGTGTTAAAGCGCGCATATTTTTATTTTGCAGCTTTTCGCGTTCCATTTTATCATATTAGTTTGTTTTTTATTCTATCCAAACAATTGTGCAGAGTTACAAAAATAAATGGACATGATACTATTCAGAATACTAATAAAGTAAAAAATCAATACAAATTGGGTTAAATCGTGTATTTTGATTTTGCAGTTTTTTGAGTTTTACTTTATCCTAAGGTCTATTCACAGGATATGTACACACGCATCCGTCTCCGTCATGGATTGTCCAATTATATATATATATATATATCCTATCTAAGATACGTTGTACGCATCTTACGATAGCGTAGATTTCTGCCTGAAGGATGTTGGAGTATTTATTTCATTTGCGTTTAAGTCGCCTCATAAAGAGCTAGCTGCAGCTTCATTATCATCATCAATCAGCCACTAAAATTCACTGCTGGACGTTCGCCTCCCTCGTTTGCTTTAACTCTCTATCTTGAGAGCTATTTGCATCCAGTTACTGTGGATACGCGTTAATTCGTCATGCCATCTGGTTGGAGGACGGCCTCTGCTCCTGAATGCATCATGTCTTGATCTCCATTCTATTATTTTCTTCGTCCATCATCATCGTCATCGTTTAGCCTTGCAATGTGTCCTGCCCAATTCCATTTCAAACTAGTTATTTTCTCTATGGCATCCATGACTTTTGTTCTGTGCCTCGTACTCATATTAGAGCTGCAGCAATAATGGCTAATTCGTCGTCTGTAAAATCACTCATTTTGCAAATTTTCAGAAGAAACCACTAGAACTAACCCCAATCGTGTCTGATATGTGGGAGTAAACCTTTAGTATTATATTATTTCTAAACGATTGTACAGAATTACAAATAGAACTTGACATATTTAGAATACAAAACTAATAATATATTGAATCAATAGTACATACACAATAAGATAAATATTATATGTAAATAAACTAATACCTAATACATATCAATTAATACTAGTCAATCTGCATATTTTCTTAGCTTTAGAATCTCTTAATACATATATCCTTGACATTGTCTCAATACTTTCCTATTATAATTTTCAATAAAATTATGCATTTTTGCATACCTATTTAATGTTACACCCGAAAATTAAAAAAAATATATATTCTAATATAAAAAACAATTTTTTTAGAAACAAATGTAATGCAACAATCTGCATAGTACCTAGTAGGTTGATCAAGCTTTGATACAAGCACAAAGTTGCATTCTTTTAATCGATAATAAAAATATTAAATATATTTTTATATTAAACTAAAATATATTTATTATACAGGGAGTTTTTTTAAGACTATATATTTTGATTTTTCATTGCATCATTAGAAAAGTGGCTCACTCCTATATCTTTTTTTATTTTTTCAGATGAAGAGGAATAGCTGATGGTGCTAAAATAAAAAAAATACCAAGGGTAGATTAGAAATCAAAAATTGTAGTCATTTCCGGTGAAACAGGAAGTGACCGAAAATAATGAATACGTCAGTTACTCCTGATTTATGTCATATATTAACATACTAAATGTTTTTCTTTTATCTGAAAAAATAAAAAAGTTATAGGGGTGAGCCACTTTTGAAAAACACCCGGTACATGTACAGTATGTCCTCGGGTTGTCTTTACAGGAGAAAAAACTTCTATTATCAACATTTTGAGAAAAATGCATTTTTCATATGAGTTTTTTGCTTTTTCTAAAATGGTTAGTCTTCTGGAAACAGGATACTCGTATAATATCGTCTAAACAAAAACTATTAGTTATTAAACTAATAAAAAGCAATAACAATTAATTGATCTGAAAAATGTTAGAATATTAACACCGGATGCTTCGACGGGTGTCTCACTTGGGTAAAAAATGTACATGTCTGCCAAAATATAATTTTAGTGCCACGCGACTGCCAATGACTGCAAAGAAAACTGTCTATGACTGCCATGTAATTATTATAGGCGATTGCCATAAGACTGCCAAGAAAATCTACATGTAATTGCAATAGTGAGACACCCTTCGGGATGAATATTAAAAAAGTTAAAAAACATCAAAATCGTGTTTTTACTGCGTAGTGTTATGGTTAATAAATTATAATAATACAATACTATAAGATTTTGTATACTAAAAACTCTTATTTTTATTCCTCACTTAAACCTAGATCCATTTAAACAAAGACCAATTATATCGCACAGCCTGAAAAACTTATTAAAGATCCCCGAATAGTTTAGTATGCATTAAAACGCGCCGCTAAGCCGCTCGTTAAGTTTTTCTTCTATTTTTCCGGCTTTTCCAGCTTACTTGACGGCCTTCTCCAGCGGGCTATCGGTCTCGTGGACGTCGCCGGTAATTCCCAAGTTCAAGACGGAAGAGAACCCGTTCAATCACACCGTGTCCACCGCCCAGATAGCGATGCTGGCCTCGTTTTTGCCGCTGGGTGCCATTACGGGACCGATACTGGCAGGTAGGTTAGGAGGTTTTTCGATAGAAAAATCCAAATGAAAAAAAATATAGCAAAATAAAAGACTTTATAATATAAAAGAATTTATGACAACCAGAGCTGCAAGAAATCAGTTTTAAAAAGATTCTACTTAATTTTTACAGTTTTATTTTAGACTTAAAAATCTTAAATCGTATCTAAAAACAAAATGATTTAAATCTTATATTTTGATTCAGAAGCTCGAAATTTAGTGGAATAGATTAGAAGTTATTAGCGTAGTGTTCTTTAAATTTCAATGCATTTGGAGTGTCAAACTATGTGGTCTATATTTGGAGTGTCAACTTTACTTTTCAATTAGTAGAAAAAGTTAACAATTTTTTAAGTTTTTTGATTAATGTATACTTCAAAATATGCTAGCAATGTAATTTTGAAAAGAAATTGTGGTTAGAACATTTTTTCTATTGTTTTATAAGCTAATTATTAGGCTTTCACTATGGATACAACTAACCATCGCAAGTACACACACCGGAAAAATCGAGGGATATCATTTAATTAAAGTTAAAAATAAATGTTTTTAATAAACAATCACATATTTGTAGGCCGATTCTTTCTACTTCGATTGAAACGAAGTAGTCACTCTAGTTATTTCTAAATTTGGGATATTTGCAGAAATATTTGTGCATTTTTTGTCAAATGTATAAAAAGCACCTAGCATCAATTGTTCGAATTTAACCTGTACTGGCTATGTTTTAATGATAAATGGTCAGAATTCATTCAAATAACTCTGTTTAGTATTAAACGACATTATGGAGCGTAGACATCTTAACAGAGACGAAATGCTAAGGGCCATGGGTATGCTCGAAGCTGGAATGCGCCAAATCGACGTAGCTAGAGCATTAAATACAACGCAAAGTGTAATATCGCGATTAAGTGCACCCTACCGTGAAAGTGGTGATGTTGCTGAAAGGCACACAGGGCGACATCGCATTACTACCCCTCAGCAAAATCATTTTTTACAATTAAATGCTCGACGCCGATCGACTCTTACAGCACCAGAGCTTAGTTTAATTCTCCAGGAAGCACATAATGTAACCGTTAGTCCTGACACTGTTCGCAATAGATTAAGAGAGGTCAACTTAAGAAGCAGACGCCCCTGGAGAGCTCAACCCTTAACGAGAGGAAATCGAGAGATACGATATTTGTGGGCTCAAGATCATGTTCAGTGGTCGAATGAACAATGGGCCAATGTTCTCTTCACGGATGAGTCACGCTTTGGAATTCATCCGGATTCGAGAAGGCTTAGGGTTATTACGATTACACGTTATTAAGATTACTTTCGAAGATATTTTGGAAAGCATGAGAAGGTATATAGCCTTCCACGGTTGGGGTTTAGCCCTTTGCGCCCTTCACAGTCGAGTACCTTGTCTCCGGCTCTGGTACCCTTGAGGTGGAGGCTGGAGGATATGTCTCTATTTTCTCCACTTCTTTAACTTCGTCTCTCCTTAGACCTGATACCGCTGTAGTCCCGGATCTATAATAGAGGATATATCTCTCTTTTTCTATTTTCTCCTTGGATTTTAGGTCAATTCCTATTGTAACGCAAGGGTTAGTCGGTTCACTTCTACAGAGCTCCTCTTGATCCGGACTGTTAAGCTAAGACAACCCCACAATCTGTAACACATATCCACAGACAGTAGAGGGTGCCTGGTATGACGGACAGGGTAGTCTCATTCGGCATCATCGTTATACGTTTTGGTGCAATTCCCTGACCAAGACTATAACCAACACTGTAACCAAGCACAAGACAATGAGATGCTTGACCCAGTCAAAGTGCTAGAGGGGATTCCCCCTAGCACCTGACTAGGAGCTTCTCCACCAACGACAAGGTCTCGCATTTCCTAGAAAAAGACACTTACCCAGTAAATGTTGCTTATCTTTTACAAGCACATAATCAGTATGATTCGTATATGCTTCTCTCTTCTACGCATGATCTCTTAAGAGAACATCGTTGGGCAAGTGTGCTGCATTATTGTTTTTAGGAGTAAATAAAAAATGAAATCAAAATCCAAGTTTAATTGCGTTACAGAATTAATAGAAATTTATAAATACTAATTTGCCATTGACTGAGATCAAACACCCATTACCAAGTAAGTGTTAATTGTAATAGTTCTTTCATAGATGGCCAAAGCCTTGCATCTCTCAACTGATTCATGTGACAAGCAATGTCATAAAATAAATGTGTTTTAGTTCAGCAAAAAACATTTATTTTTACTCGTAATTATTTAACTAAATAAAGAGAAATCTCTGTTATGTTACAGTCCAACAAGTTAAATATTATGTACTATTACGTGATTTTTACCAATTTAAATTAACATGGTAATAAGTGCCCATGGTTAAACATCCATTAGAAGTGTGTGGCGAACAATAATATACAGGGTGTCCCAGAAATAAGTGCAAGTATTTTAAGGGGTGGTAGATCTCCATAAAAGAAACATATTTTCTCTTAACCGTTTTTCAAATAACTCCAAAATAACGGAATTATTTTACTTTGAAAATTTCCAAAAAAAAATTATTTTTTGCTAAAATTTTGGGAACCACTGAATATTTTCTGGATTTTTTTTCTTGTAAATTTAATCTAATACCCATATTATCAAGAAATTATGTTTTTAACTAAAAACTAAAAAAAATCCAAAAAATTTCGAATTTTCAAATTTTTTTTCGCGAAAAAAACCTCATAGGCGTGTTTTTGGGGTTGAACCAGTTAAAATACTTGCACTTATTTCTGGGACAACCAGTTAAAATACTTGCACTTATTTCTGGGACACCCTGTATATATTCAAGATTTTTCTAGCTGTATTGAAAATCTAATAACCCCAACTTTTAGAACATGAGAAGAAGCAATGTGTGGAATTTTGTATTGTTCTATCTTTTCAAATAAAGTCTCAAAAAAATTAAAATATATCCAAATATCTACGAAAGTAATCTTATCTATACTAATATATAAAATCCTTAAGTGACTGACATACTGATTAATCACGATCCTGCTCAAACCACTCAACATAAGAAGCTCAATTTTGGCATACAGGTTGATTCTAGGGTGTAGGTTCGATAAGAAGGGATTTTTCGAAATTCCAGTTCCAGGATGGTGAAACCACGCCTCAAATATTACATTATTTTTTATTTAAAAAACGGTCAAGTTTCCGAAAAAACGCTTAAACGCGTATATTTTATTTTGTTTTTTTACATATTTTAAGATTTTTTCATAATGTATACAGGGTGTTTCGAAAAATCTGGTCATTGATTAATAACGATCCTGCTTAAAGCGCTTGACGTAAAAAGCTGATTTTTGGAAAACAGATTGACTTTAGGGTGTAGAGGTTCGATAAGAAGGGATTTTTCGAAACTCAAATTCTAAGGGGGTGAAACTATCCCTCAAATATTAAAATATTTTTTATTTAAAAACCGGTGAGTTTTTCGGAAAAACTCTTAAACACGTATATTTTATTTTGTTGCTTTACATATTTTAAGATTTTTTATAAATTTATACAGGGTGTTTCATAAAATATGACCATTGAGTAATCATGATTCTGCTTAAACTGCTTGACGTTTAAAGCTGATTTTTGGCATACGGATTGACTGTGGTGTGTAGAGGTTCGATAAGGAGGGGTTTCTCGAATCTCAAATTCCAAGAGGGTGAAAACGCCCATCAAATATTACAATATTTGTTATTTAAAAAACGGTTAGTCTTTCGGGAAAACGCTTGGACGAGCATAATTTATTTGGTAATTTTACATATTTTGAAATTTTTTAAAAAATTATATAGGGTGTTCCAAAAAGTTGACTTAAACTTGACGTAAAAGCTTATTTTTGACAAACGGATTTTTTAAAAGTCAAATTCCAACGAGATGAAACTACCTCTCAAATATTACCAAGTTATATAATAATATCGCCATATTGTTTTTTCTTATGCTGACAGAAATGTGAGAAAATTTTATCCAGTTTGTATGTTAATGGAAATTCTTGCTTTGCTTTATCATCACCATTACAAATGATTAATTCGACGCGAACGAATTCGCTGGTATACGCTAGTATTGTATAAAATGATAATATCTTAACCAATTTTATCACCGGTTTTCATACTTGTTACATATGTATACAATTTTATACCGTGAATTGTAGTACAATTTCAAATTAATCTTTTCAACACCTAACAAAAATATACAGCTAATTTGAATAATTTTAATCATTTGACATTTTGTTTGTTAGGAAATTAAAACAGGTGTCTCTCAGATTCAGATCAATCAATCAACTGTGATATTTTTTTATTTAATGTATCACATTACTTCTACGTAGTTGATTTTAAAACTATTATTATAATCTGCCATTCTTAAGTAGGCACTGACACTACTATACATATTATAATAAAAAAAACCTGATATTCTAGTTCGATCTGTATCAAATTTTTTCATTCATTCATCAATTGGATACGAGACACGAGATGTTGACCTTCTTGTAAATCCTGAATCAGTCTTCATAAAACTAAGTGAAAAAAATTCTGATTGTTTATTCTGATAAATAAATTTGCCACTCAGCTTTTGCTAAGAAACAAGAAGCTAGGAAAATCCAAGTTTTAAACTGGTTACTGTTACAGGAAAAGTATATGTTTCGAGAAATTTATTTTCCTCTGTTTTGCATAGTATCTGATTAATAGCAGACTTTCATAAAATGTTTTTATGGGTATTTGTTTTTTTTTCTATGCAGATGAGTTCTTATAAGGAATATATATGATGAAATTAGTAAATACCACCATCAACATTTCCTTTCTTTATTCTCAATATTTCTCTTTTAAAAAAGTGTTTAGTTATAACGTTTTTACATCACTATTTTTTTAGTATTTCAGTTACGTTATGAGATTCATAACACAACTAGTGGTGTTATGAATCTATAACACAACTAGTTGCTATAATAATGAAAAACAACTACGATCATCTAAATATATTAACTTTTCCGGCAATAATGATTCC